TTTTACACCAATAGCATTTAAAAATGATGATTAACTTACAAAATATTATCACACATAATAAAGAAAATGTGTATTTTCTGTCCTTTAAATTATATTATACTAACGTATATAACAAACATGCCTATTTTGGTCATTGAAATCAAGTCAGCAAAAAAAACACAAATGAAAAAAAATCAACCAATACTTTAATAAGTATAAAGTGTATTTCTGGACAGATGCTAGAATTTGTAAACATTTCCTAAGGACTTAATTTTATAGCCCTTAACTGCATTTTAACAGTCAGAATTATTATAAAACATAATCAACAGAAACAAAATACTTTTTGAAAAACAAACAGACCATTTAAACAACTAATTAGTTTAACTTTTAAAGTTTAAATAATTTCAAACCTAAAAAAGTATTTGACACATATATTGACTACGTTAAATTAAAGGCCACAAGGTTTCCATATGCTAAAAACTTTTCTGTTTACCCATGCATCTTCTACATTGACAAGTAATGATAGAATTGCAACTACACTAAGAAAAAGTTTAAAAAATTGATTTATTGCCACTTGTTTTGAAGTTTTTGTTGATAAAGCAAAACAAAAACAAAAATCATTTTAGATGTCATATGTTAGCATTTAGCATCTAATACATGAAAATCTTTTAAGATTTAAATCTTTTGTATGAGGTATACAATTAATGGCCCATTTTAGAGAAACAGAGTTAAACTATATAGAATGAGCTATTGTAAGGCACATGAGAATATGGCATTCTCAACTGAAACTGGCTGATTTTTATTATCATCTTTGAGGGTAAGATTTTAGAAGTATGTTTAGATTTAAAATATTACTCATACATAATTTAAGATTAACCATTAAATCAAATTAATGGTTTTATTTAGAGATCATTTAAAATGCTCATTTAAAAATAGTCTTAAAATTCACTTAGCATAAGATCTTTATGTATTCAATTTTATTATGTTTCTGATATTTGTTAAACTTTTACGGAAGCTAGCTATTTAAACATTTTCTATCTTTGCTGAGTTAAAGAGAATGCCCAGTCTCCATACATAAAAAGTAAACAAAGGGAAAGCATCAGAGAGCTGGGAAATAGTTTGATCATGTTTTTGAAGAAATTTCTTTATTTCTTGGTCATCATGACTTATTCCTGAAGCATTGCTGTCTTCAATTTCCTTTTGAAGGAGCTGCTCCACAACCCAGAATAGGAAGAAAATATTTTCATAGCGCATCACATCATAACTGGCTTGCACCTAGAAATAAACAATAAAATTAAACTTACAAACAAAAAACTGGTTGTAGCTCAGTTCAGAAAATGCCAAATGAAACTATTACATTTCCAATAAAATAGCAAATCCTTGACAGAAACATTTTTTGTTTACCTGTTCCTTGATGGGGGATGAAGGGAAATAAGGAATATTTCATTTTCTCAAAAACTTTACAATCTTTTCTTCCTTACCAGTTTACAAATGTCTTACTTTTTTGATCATATTTCTGCATTCTTGTAATAATTTATGACTCAGACGAGCCTAAAAATATCTCATGCATACTAAGTGTACTAAGTGTTGAGTGCTGAATTCAATGTTCTGCTAAAGAGTTCCAATATGATAGTGAATTCGTCAAATTTGTAATAAAAAAGATCTTTGAGGATAGGATTTTAGAACTATGTTTAGATTTAAAATCAGTTCAAGAGCAGTTAGAGTAATGATCTATTAGACACCAGATATAACCACATAGCGAGTCTACAAAAGATAGGGAGGAGAAGGATATGAGGAGAAATGTGAATGCACCTTTTAGAACTTACTATCTTACCTAGATACCTACAAAGTGAGAAAACATGAGAAGACATAAAAATAGGCAACAAAACAGAAATTAGCATTATCATATGCTTATAAATTATGACATGACTTGGAAACATTTACCATATGTATGCATTGTAATGGCCTCCTGGTGTAGCACTGTAGGATAAGCACTAGATTGATAACAACAAGGTCAGTGTTTCAAACCCAACAGCTACTCCTCGGAAACCCTATACGGGGTGGCTATGAGTTGGAACGGACTCAACATTACTTAACAACAAAACAATAACAACACGTTGTAATAATACATTTTTTTCTATACAGGCCCAGAGGAACGTGGTTTTCAATAAGGTCCAGTAAACAGAATAAAATAAATACAGATGACTGAAAAATAAATACTTTCTTTAAAGGTCTATACTAAGAATTAATCTCCAATTACACTATACCTCACTCCCACCAAACGGGACTAAACATTTTTGGTGTATACACCTAATGCCTGTATATTTGTTCCTTTGATCTACAGAATAGCCTCTATAATCAAATTCTAATTACCAGCACCTAGCCAGCCTTCAACGTCTATTATAGACATCTATAACAAGGAGCTCTGGTAGCGTAGTGGTTACGAATCGGGTTGTGGGCCCAAGTCAGCAGTTCGAAACTACCAGCTGTTCCGTGGGAGAAAGATGAGGCTTTCTGCTCCTGTAAAGATATACAGCCTCGGAAACCCTGTACAGGGTCGCTATGAGTCGGAACCAACTCCACAGCACATAACAACAACAACAATAACATCCAGTGGATTTTTCTAGTTTCCTCCAATTTTCTAGATCTGAACAGAGCTTGTCTGATATTCTGGTTAGTTACTTATATGTTTTATCACTTATTCAGATGCTAAACATGTTAATGGCAGCGCAGTGGCTCTATAAGATAAGCACTGGACCTGAAACCACAAGGTTGGTGGTTTGAGCTAACCAACGTGCTCCACATAGGAATTCTATAGCAAAAGACAAAACTGTTTCATTCACTTTGAAGCTTAACCTTCAAAAAGAATATAGTGTTTTGTAATAACAGATTATCAGTGTAGGCAGGAGTCGTACAAATGATTTTTTTTTTTTTTTTGCCATCTATTAATTAGTTGTATATTCTATTATTTATCATACCAAGTCCTTAAAATACATTGGGGTTTTGTGAACCAATAAGTACTCTTTTTCAAAATTATTTAGATTTATTTCTAGTTACCCATGTTTCTCACCTATAAGAGAGTTAATAATCAGTAAAGATTTCTCCTCCAGACAAATGCCATAATATGCCAGGTAAAATCAGGACAAGGATGTAAAAAGCAGGCAGTGTGTGTCTCCAGCACGTTTGCATCTGCATAGAGAGTCCTACTGGGCAGGTTCCCACTGTGTTGGCCCCATTTCTCTACTTTGCCTTGGACGTGGTTTCTCTTACCAGAACCTTTCTGTCTTGGGTTCCATATCTATCCTAAAATGCCTATTCTCATAGTAAGTAATTGGATAACCTCTTTTGCTCCAAGATATCAACAGCTCACAGAGTATCCATTTCTTTCTTGGAACTCAGGAGGTGCAGTGGTTAAGTGCTCAGCTGCTAACTGAAAGGCTGATGATTTAAGCCCACCGGCTGCTCCACAGGAGAAAAGGTGTGGCAATCTGCTTCCACAAGAATTGTTGTAGTTAAGTGCCATCCAGTTGATTCCACAGCAACCCTGAACAGGGTTTCTGAGGAGCAGCTAGTGCGCTTGAACTGCCGACCTTGCAGTTCAAAGGGCTTTGCAGTCTGGCGCATTAACCCACAGTGCCACACCAGGACTCCCTTGCCTTGGAACCCCATCGGGTAGTTCTACTCTGTACCACAGGCTCACTAGGAGTTGGAATCAAATTGACAGCAATGAGATTCTTTGGGTTTAAACTACTTTCTTTAGAGATAGTAAGCACTTAACTTACATGCTTTAGCAGCCTTTTCAACGTGACAAAAAAGCATGTCTGTGGGGGAGATCTTTCCTGTAGTTCTCAAATTTTATCACTCTCGCAGCTGCTTGCTCTGTTTAATCATATGCTCAAGCACTTTCTGAATTAGAGTCATAAGCCTAACGAATCCTAAAATAAATGATATTAGGATGATGACTGACACCCTTCCACCATATTTTGGCATACTTTTTATATCCTTTTCGTTATGGATTGAATTGTGTCCTCCAAAAATATATCCTGCAAATCCTAATCCCTACACTATGGAAGGAATCCCATTTGGAAACGGGTTTCTGAGGTCATATCAGTATAGGATATGCAGTCAACCTAGCCACTTTTAAGAGCTAACAGGAGATTAGGCACAGAAACAAGCATGATGTTTGCTGAACATGGATGCTGCCTGAAGATCACTAGAAATGTAGGGGGAAAACATTTCAGAAGCTGAGGCAAAGATTCTATCCCAGAGTGAATTGAGAGACCCCCTTCCTTAGAGCCAGAACTCTGAATTTCTACCCTCCTAACCTGTGAGAAAATTAACTTATGTTCCTTACAATCACTCACTTACTTGTGGCATTTTTGTTACATCAGCACTAGTGAAACCAAGTCTGACCTACACCAATTTTAGAAAATACCTGTTTTCTCTCCTTATAGTAAATGAGAATTTTCCCAGACTACTTTCAGAATTGAAGTATTTCTATGCTTGTTCTTAATTCCTGAGTTGGGCTTGAGAAAGTCCAAGTATTCAAGTGCTTTAAAAATTGGGAGAAAATGAAAATTTCTCTACATGCCACAAAATTTTAGTTCAAAACTTAAACTCTAAAATTAAGGCTGTTTCCTAATTACTGCTCTTGCTGGAATTCAGTCAAGGTTAACTTGACATTTTTGTGAAAACTTATTTTCTTTGAAGTACACAGTGCTAATTGCTTACCCCATATCCATATCTTGCTTATCAACAGAACCCCGGTTTTAATCAGATTGGGATGGACTAAAAATCTCCTTGTTGATATTTTCCAGTCCCCTTATGGATTGCTGTTATTGTTGTTACTCATAAATTGATTCCAACCCAGGTGACCCATGTGTGTGGTATAGAACTATTCCATAGTTTTCACAGGCCTGTCTACTAAGGTGCCTCTGTTGTTGTTGTTAGGTGCCATCGAGTCTGTACCGACCCATAGCGACCTTATGCACAGCAGAATGAAACACTGCCCGATCCTGGGCCAACCTCACTACTGTTGCCAAGATTGAGTCCACGGATGCTGCCACTTAGCTAATCCACCTTGTTGGGGGTCTTCCTCTTTTTCTCTGACCTAAATCAGTAATGACTCATAGCGACCTTATGTACAACAGAACAAAACACTGCCCAGTCCTGGACCAACTTCACAATCGGTGCTACACTTGAGCCCACTGATGCTGCCGCTTTACAAATCTATATCGCTGGGGGGGAGGAGAGGGGAGAGTTCATCCTGTGTCCTCTGACCCCCACCTTACCAAACATGATATCTTTCTCTAGTGACTGGTCCCTATTGACAATATGTATAAAGTATGAGAGATGAAGTCTGGTCATCCTGGCCTCCAAGGAGCACTCTGACTGAACTTCATCCAACACAGATCTGTTTGTTCTTTTGGCAGTTCATGGTGTATTCAATATTCTCCTCCCACACCGTAACTCAAATGCATCAAATCTACGGTCTTCTTTATTCACTGTCAAACTTTCACATGCATATGAGGTTACTGACAATACCATGGCTTGGGTCAGGTGCATCTTAGTCCTCAAGCTGACAACTTTGCTCTTCAACACTTTAATAAGTTCTTGTGCCTAACGAAGAGTTACCTAATGCAATATGTCATTTGATTTCTTGACTGCTGCTTCCATGAGTGTTCATGGTTGATTCAAGAAGAACGGAGTCCTTGACAACTTCAATCTTTTCTTTGTTGATAAGAATGTTGTTTATTGGTCCAGTGGTGAGGATTTTTGTTTTCTTTACTTTGAGATGCAATCCATATCAAAGACTGTGCTCTTTGATCCTCATCAGTAAGTATTTTAAGTCCTCTTCACTTTCAGCAAGCAAGGTGGTATCATCTGCATATCACAGGTTGTTAATGAGTCTTCCTCCAATACTGATGCCACGTTTTTCTTCATAGAACCCAGCTTCTTGGATTATTTCCTCAACATACAGGTTGAGTAAGTACAGTATAAGAATACAACCCTGTCTCACAACTTTCCTACTTTTAAACCATTCGGTGTTCCCATGTTCTTTCTGTTCGAACAACTGCCTCTTGATCTATGTACTGGTTTCTCATGAGCACAATTAAGTGTTCAGGAATACTCATACTTCACAACGTTGTCCATAGCTTGTCATGAGATGCACAATCAAAAACCTCAGCATAGTCAACAAAGCACAGGTAAACATCTTTCTGGTATTCTCTGCTTTCAGTCAAGATCCATCTGACATCAGCAATGATATCCCTCTT